TATCTTATCTTATCTTATCTTATCTTATCTTATCTTATCTTATCTTATCTTATCTTATCTTATCTTATCTTAAATAATAGGGTAATTTTTAAAAACTGGCATTTGTGCATGAAAATGTAGCTAAAAGGATTAAATTATTACAGTAAGTTGCTTCTCTATCCACTATTAGAAGACCCATTTTGTTTTTTATAAAAACTTAGAGGTGGAATATTTTTTATCCATGATCCAGTTTTGAATTTTTTTTCCAAAAAAAAGTATATTACATTGAATTCATAACAATGAAAAAGATGTGTTGTCTCAATATGTGATTCACCAAACATACAGGAGCTGAGTACCTTCATCTCGGCTGCCTTTCCTTGTCAGCGTTTATCCATGGTTAGACAGGATTTAATATATTCCAAGGTTTCCCCTCGTTTACGGTCACTTTGTATTGAGAATTTAACCTTTTKTGATGTCAAACGCAACAATAAGTATATAAGAAGTTGCTTATCTAATTACTGTGCCACTGATGCGCTTAAAAGGGAATATATCCTTAAAGACTTCAACAAGGAACAAATTAAGATCTAAATATTTATCTTTTCCACTCTTCCAAAATAAAAGAAATGAAATTTAAAATTACAAACAAAATTCACCCAGCTAATGGCTTTTTGAGACATAGGTTTAAAATGGATGTGGGTAAGTGTGTGTTTTGTGAAAGGGTAGGATCATCTGTTTTTCACATGTGAAATTATACAAACTTTTTGAAAAGATCTTCACCAGTTTATTTGTGGTCATGGGACACAATTAACAGACATAACCATCCAAGAGGTTAAATTAGTGTTTTTATCAATTACCATAACTTTGACTGTGGTGTAAATAATGTTCTATTATTAGCCAAACATCACATACATAAATGTTGTTTCTTTAAAACCTTTGCACAGTGGAAGAATGAGTTAAAGTTGTCCTATGAGTCTTTATTTTTTTGTGAAATCAAAAAGGATGGTGCCCCTTCAAAGTTTTGTTTTATTTAGGATTGTTTGTTTTAATTAGGGTTTTTGCTTTTTGTTATTTTCTGTTTAGTTCTGATTGTTATTGTTTTCTTTTCCTTTTTGTATTTTGTGAATACATAATGTTTACGTTGTGGTACCTTTTTCAAGTTGATTGTAAAAAAATAAAAAACTTTATATGGGCTTTTTCATGACAACTTGCTGCACTTTTCTTTTTACTGTAGTGAACCATCTGTATTATATACAATCTTCGTGTTCCAGCTCTCCGCCCCCTCAGTTCCGTCACAGACAGGAAGTGACGTCGGTGTAGAAGATGGTTGTCTGTAAATCCTGTGCACTGCTGCGGCTCGCTAGCCGTTTAATTTAACGCAGTGTGTGGGCTCCTTCCAGTCCGGCGGATGGACCCCCGTGGAGACATGGCAGTGCACCGCTGCCGCCCGCTCTCCTGAACGCGGAATCGAACCCGCAACTTCATGTCTGACGGAGCCAGAGCTGCCTGGTCGAAGAGGGGTTGTGGGGATTCGCACCGCCGAGGTGAGACGGCTGGAGTTAGCCGCTAAGCTAAAGCCGCTTCCCCCGGTCACCGGAGTGGTGACAGTTAGCTCCTCTGGCGGGTGTTTTACCGTCCTGTCCGTTAGCACGTCCTCCAGGAGACAGGCTGAAAGCAGCGGCTTCAGTCCCGGGTCAGAGCCGAGCCCGAGCCGCTGTGTGGAGCCTTTGTTTGGGGCTCAGACTGAACCCTGCCCCTGGTTGTTGGAGGCTCTTAAACCCACACTAAAGCGCATCTAACCGCTGTAAACAAGCTGAAACCAGCACGGTCAGGGTTCACCTGTTAGCTTTTAGCTGCACGTTCAGGCTGAGCTAATTCTCTGTGATTAACCTGGGTCTCAGGTGTTTGTACACCTGTTCTGTGTCTCAGTGCAGGTGCGTTTTAAACCGTGAAAAATGAAGATAAAATAAGTGTTAAACTACTATCATTGGCTCATTAGTCGCCATGGTAACCGCTCACCTGCGTCTGTCACTCCCTGATAAGACAAAGACCAGAAAATAAGCTTTGTGTATTAAAAAGTRGACGAGTCTGCTCTGAGTTATTATGTTGTGTCTGCGATGTTTTATGGAGGAGATGTCAAAATAAGAGTCTTCACTTCCTGTTTTACAGACAGCGGAAGTCGGTCTGCGCTCTKAGATTTGACAGGTTTATAATTTGTAGAAGAAAGTTTATAGTTTTAAAGTTTTGTTTGCGAACATTTTGGGTAGTTAAGGGCAGCATCTTGGTATTTTCATGATCTACAGAACTTAAAATGTTTTTATTAGACGTTCTCAGAAACTCACAGTCATGTTGTGAGTTTTTTTTGCAGAATTGTCTTACAGTTGTGTTTGTTGTATTTCTCCAAACAGACAGAAAACAWGAGGCTGCAGCCCTGAAGGTCCAGATCTGAAAACCTCATCAAGGAGAAATAATAGTTATTAAAAACTGCCCAGTCGATTAAATCATAAYCATATTTTTATCGTCCTGGATGTGTTTATATTTCTTCTTCTCTTGAATGCTTGGTGATCTGAAGCATCTGTGTCTGTCTTCCTTCAGAACCGGGGAAACATAAACACAGGAAATGCGAGCGGCCCTTTAGCGCTCAGACGTCGCAGCCTGTGATCGTTCGCCCSGGCTCCAAAAGGTACGACTCTCCCTGTCCTCCACTCTGTGTTTTACTGCAAATAAAACCATTTTTCTGTCTAGACTGSAAGAAAATCTGGAGCTTTCTATAATGAAATATGAAAAACACAAAGTTTAAACTGAAACTTTTATAGCTTGATGTCATTTAGAGCATATTTAGTGGTTAAAGTGATTTACTCTCCTGGRTGGACTTGTTTCAAACATTCAGAATTAAGTGAAACAAAAATGATAAATTCCTGTTTTTTCTCACTTTTGGACCAAACCGGCTCTGACTCTAGGAATGTGCGATATGGTGAAAGATTCATATCAYGATATACATTATGATGGGTGGAGTTAACGATCATGATATAAAACATAATATAAAATAAATCACATACTAATTGACTGGAATCTACAAATATGTAGATGTTAAACTATTTTTTAGACCTTAAAATGTCCTTTTTAAGGGAAATTTTAAGGTCTCCAAATCTAATTTTAAGGGAGACCTACCTGGTTAGCTCAAAGTTAAATTATATATATAATATATATAATATGTGTGTGTGTGTGTGTGTTTATACATATACACACAGTTAATTTATGTTTTGCAACGTTTTGCTCTTCCTGTGCTCTCAGCCACACAGCTTCCTGATTCCTCTGTTGTGACTCCAGCTGGTTACATCATCAAYAAGAATTACTGCAGCTGGTTGATAAACTACAGATCTCWATCAGAGGACAMATTTATATTTTATAYTGTGCATTCCTTGTAGAAACCTGTTGTTTCCATAAAACAGGAAGTTTTAGGAGCTGTCCTGTCAGAATAAACTTTAAAAGATCTGAACTTTAATCCAAACATCTTAAGAGACACTTTGTTCCTGCTTCAGTTCAGCTCTTTGTTTCCACGTTTTACACCTGTTTGTATGAGCCTGACGCGTGTCCCTCACCTGTGTCCCTCACCTGTCCCACACCTGTCCCTCATCTGTCCCTCAGGTGTCCCACACCTGTCCCACACCTGTCCCACACGTGTCCCTCACCTGTCCCACACGTGTCCCTCACCTGTCCCACACGTGTCCCTCACCTGTCCCTCACCTGTCCTTCAGGTGTCCCACACGTGTCCCTCACCTGTCCCTCACCTGTCCTTCAGGTGTCCCACACGTGTCCCTCACCTGTCCCTCACCTGTCCTTCAGGTGTCCCACACGTGTCCCTCAGGTGTCCCTCAGGTGTCCCTCACCTGTC